AGCACCATTGGTTTTTCTGGCAAAAAAAGAGTAACAAGAAAAACCGTTTCGGCGAACACTTTTGACTGTTACTGTAGAAAGCCCACTTCTGTGTACCGCCAAAGTCACCCAACTTTGATGGCTGATGGCTTAAAACATTTGGGTAAAAACGTACAAGCAATCGAATAGAACAATAGGGTAGCAGGCGTAAGGAACTAGCAGGAAAACAGTCATTATAAGGTATTCCGTTGTTAAGCAAAGTTCTTGTCGTTTTGGACAGTTCGAGTTCCGAGGCATTGTTTCTGACTATTTTGCTAGGAAGCACAATTTTCGGTTGATCTGGTAGTGCTGACAGTTTTGCTCAAGAACTACTGTTCCCATTTTTTTGGAGCTTTGAATACAGCATGTTCAACAAGTCCATCCGACGATATTTTCTTGTTTATGTTTATGTTTATTACGTCCGCTGAAGGCAAACGTTAGAAACAATGCATTACTTGATAAGTAAACAAAATCGAATAATACAACAATAAGCTAAATCGAACGCGAAACTTCTACAAGAACAGATAAAATCAATAAATTTAGGCACCACTTAAAACTCATGATAATCAGTCTCATAAGACGCTAGATTACTTCATATCTCAGCAAGATTTTTCCACCCGATGCTTGAATCTGAGCTAGCGATAAGTCATATGGCATACCGCTACCTGGCTGCAAGTAACGACTACCCCCTCTAACAGTAAAGTTCCTAGCACACAGGTTAGTTTTGCCAAATCATTTATTTTCCTTGTAACACGAACTACGGCAAAAATATCCTAATCAGCTTATAATATAATTATATGTTAGGACTGGCATTCTAAGAAGGTGTGCCGTGAAATGATTGATTGTAAAGCTTGTGTAGGGATAGCGAGATCCTCGAAGGCGGTGAGGGAGGTTGTCGGATAATGAAGTTGGTGAAAAATTGGCTAGAACTTTTGAAAAGAAGCCCAAAGTGTTCAGAAGTGTTGGCTAGAAGCTGCTTCTGTGTTAGGCTACTCAGTAGTCATAAGGGTCGAGAGAATTGGAAAAAAGGGTCATATTAACGGACAGGGTGGGGCAGGGGGTCGTATTGGTCAAATTTTCCTCTACACATGGTTCACCCCGTGGAGACTTACTGTGTTTCCCTTGAGAATTTTTTAAAATAATTTAAATTTTTTGGAGAATGAGCTCTTCAGAGATGATCGGAAACTAATGAATTTCAGATAGATCCACAACGGTCATTCAAGCATTTGAGAGCTGTTGTTGATATAAAAATTAATGCCATGTATATTCTAATTTTGCTACGCATTGGCATTGCTACTATGATAATTTATCTGTTTAAATAAGGACTAAGTAACTTGCAGAGGAAGCCAGGCCTACAGTTCTGGATGCACAGCTGGAAGATCCACAGTTAGTAAACTGAGTCAAGGCATCTAGACGCTATTGGGAGGTTATTCTCTGTAGATCGATTCGTCAGTTAATTTTCAACACTTTGTACGACTTTATCATGTTGATGGAGAATTGGAATGCGCAATATTTCTGAAGAAGACAAGGTGTTCGAGGAGAGAAGCAGTTTCATGCTCAGCGCACCTTCCTACGACCACTGCGCTCTTCTTTGCTTTAAAGGAAGTGATCAAATCAACCGGAGGTACATAAAACTGTGAGTATTTGAATGAGGATTCACGATAAGGTAGAAGGACGAAGAAGCGGGAAGCTGCGCTATGGAGGAAACAGACGGAGGAGCCTCCCCAAGGATGGGCGGAATCGTGCGGCGACTGCCCGGATGATCGGCAGCAAGCACGCGGACGCCATTCGCCGGGCAACGCCCTCCAATGTGCCTGTAATTCACTGTGCGCAGAGGTTTCTTAGCGTTAGCACACAAATAGAGGACGTTTCGGCAAAAGGGGCAGCTTCGATGTGGAGTCGCCATTGATGCGGCAAATTCAACGGGCGGAAGGAAAAGGTCGCGCATTTCCCAGGTTCCTCGCCGTTTCTCCAATTTTTCTCCATCCTTTGCACAACTCACCTCTCCCTTAGTTCAAGTCAAACTGTCTTTTCATCGTAAAATCCTTCCTTTTCGTTCCTTGAGTGCTAGGGTGTTTCTTATGTTTTTCTTCATCCCAGAGCCTCTGATCATCTCTACTTATGATGAACTGCCTTCTGGAAGTAAACTCTGCCTTCGATTCAACAGGTCGGTTCTTAGCCGAGAGACAAGCACTACAGGAAGTGCAAAGCCCCTCGTCCATCTCTCTCGCAAAAGCGCTATACGCGGCAGGGTTTCCTAAAGTGACGATACTAACATGAATAATATTTGTGGTGCATGAGTCAAGCTCTTCTGATTATTCGTCTATTAATGCCGAGCCCGTTGATCAAGTCTCTGCTATTCTGTTATTGCGGCCGGCTCGTTGCCTGTGAGGTTCCTCCGTTTTTTGACTTGGTTACTAGATCCTCTGTCATACCTTGTCTTAGAAATCAGAACTGTGAAGTTCTAATACACTAGTCATTCAGCTGTCGAAAACATAACGGAAGCAACTTTATACAGGAAACCAGTATTACGCGTCGTCAATATTTATAAAAACCCTCTCTGGTCTTTCGGCCGAGTTTTCCTTCGTGGACGAGTCGATCCAGAAGAGGAATTGGAGCGAAACGTGTATCATCCGGCATTGATTCTCGCCACACTGAAAAATTAGGCATCTGTGATCTGATTGCGAAAATCAGAGAAAAATCAAGAGCGAGTCTTGAATTAGATTTAAGGGCCCTACACGTAGTCTTACAAAACATTTTAGTAATAATTCCATACAGTGAATTTTGGATATCTGTAAGTATTTGTATGATTAACGGCGATTTCCCAACATTTGGCTAAATCCCGAAATTGATCGTTCATCACCATGTTCTTACACTTATCGACTATCTGTGGTTTTTTTTTTGCAGAAAGATGGGAAAATAAGAAGCAGGAAAAAGCAATCAGAAGATGAGTAGAGTTCAAAAGCATGGCGTATACCAAAGGTGTTTAGGCACGCCCAGAACATTTTTATTGCAAGCATTCTATCTTACCTGTCATCACGTTGGAGAGCGTATCAAGGCCAACATAGTCGCATAATGTCAACGGACCCATTGGACAAGACGTGCCATAACGGAGCGCTAAATCAAAAACCATTTAAGTTCCGCAGCTTTACAGGGATATTGGTGATATTTGTTTTTTGATTACCATAAAGGACTGCTAATATTGCCATCGGTGTGACTCTAGAGACCACTTACCGGCGTCGATGTCCTCCTTGGTGGCGTCTCCTCGTTCCAGCATCCGAATGCTGTCGAGCAAATAAGGAACCAGAAGACGATTTACGATGAAACCTGGTGTGTCCTGGAAAGATGTTCTCAGGACTTTTTTGTTTGCACTCTCGCGAACTTTTAGCTTTTTTTATACTCTTTCCGTCGCCTGTTTGGTGGCCTCACGCTCTTGTACAACCTCCAACCTTTGCCAGAAATATTAGAGAGTTCTATTTTTCTACCATGTATCAAGGTTATTTTTGTCACGCCCCTCCTACTCGAATTCCATGACCTATATTTTTCTTCGAAGTCGGTTTGCTAGTGTACTAGTCCTGAGATACAATGTCAAAATAGTGCGAGTATAAATGTACACTACCAAGCGGAGATGTCGCGGTTCAAAAGTCGGCGACAATGGCACTACGGCCTTACAAGTGAGCTAATGACGGCTGATATGAGCTAATGGACGAGACACCGCGCGCATACCCCATGACACGCGACGTGGATTACGACGTAAGAG